TTTAAATAATTTAATTGAAGAAGAAAATTGATTTAGAATAATAAAGTAATGCCACCTATAAAAGACGGAGAAGAAAATAATATTGGCAATATTGTTGAAAAATATATTAATGAAAATGATGTTATGATTTTTTCAAAATCTTGGTGTCCATATTGTAAAAAGGTTTTATTTTAAATTTAATTATTTATTTATTTATTATTATTATTATTATTTTATTTAAATAGATAAAAGAAGCATTAACATCTGCTAATATTCAATTTAATTCAATTGAATTAGATCAAATCGGTAGAAATATTTTTCAAAATCTTTTTTTATTTTTTCTCTTTTTATTTATATTAAAATTTATTCTTTAGATCAAGGTCAACTTATCCTAAATGAATTAATTAACAAAACACAACAAGAAACTGTTCCCAATATATTTATTAAACAACAACATATTGGTTTGTTTAACAAACATTTTTTATTTAAAAACAATATTTTTAAATTATATCAAATATAGGTGGTTGTGATAAGACTCTTGAAGCAATGAAAACTGGTCGAGTTGCTACTCTTCTTAATCCAACAGAATCGAAATTCGAATCTGAACAAATAAATGATGATGATTTAGATTCGTATGATTATGATTTAATTGTTATTGGAGGAGGTTCAGGTGGACTTGCATGTTCAAAAGTATTTTTAACAAATAAAATAAAATAAAAAATAAAAAGAATATTTTTTTGTTTTGTTTTAATATTTAGGAAGCTCGATCATTTGATAAAAAAGTATGTGTACTTGATTTTGTTAAACCAACACCAATAGGAACAACTTGGGGTTTGTTATAAAAAAGAAAAACAAAAAAAAACCGAGATTAATATTTATTATTCTATAGGACTTGGTGGAACATGTGTTAATGTTGGTGTAAGTTAATATTATGTTTGTTTTTTTTATTTTGAAATATTGATTAATATTTGTAATAGTGTATACCAAAAAAATTAATGCATCAAGCATCATTAATTGGTGAATATGCTAAGGATTCAATTGATTATGGTTGGTCACAAGTTGAACAAGGTTTGAAGATTTTTTTTTTTTTTTTCTTATTTTATTTTTAATTAAATTTATGAATTTTTCTTAAACAAAAAAAAAGATCATCAACATAATTGGTCAAAAATGATTCAATCAATTCAATTATATATTCGTTCACTTAATTTTAAATATCGAACTGATCTTCGTTCAAAAGGTGTTATTTATGAAAATTCTTATGGACAATTTGTCTCACCACATAGATTAAAAGTTTGTTTTAGGCTTTGTTTTTAAATAATAATTATTTTTTTTTTCATTTTTAGTTAACAGACAAAAAAGGTCAAACGAAAGAAATAACTGGAAAAAATATTGTTATAGCTGTTGGAGGAAGACCAAAATATCCAGATATTGAAGGTGATCAAAAATATGGAATTACAAGGTTTTTGTTTTGAAAAAAATTTTTTCTAAGTTTAACTAAAAAAATTGTTTAGTGATGATTTATTTTCTCTTGAATATGATCCTGGAAAAACAATTGTTGTTGGTGCATCATATGTTGCACTTGAATGTGCTGGATTTTTACATGGAATTGGTCGTGAAGTTGATATATTTGTTCGTTCAATACTTCTTCGTGGTTTTGATCAACAAATGGCAACAAGAATTGGAGATTATATGTCATCTATTGGAATTAAATTTCATCATAAAACTATTCCAACACGTTTAGAATGTTTAGAACAAGGAAAACCAGGAAAATTACGTCTTCATTATCGTGAAACACTTGAATCAGGAGAAATTTATGAATCGTATCAAGATTGTAATACTGTTTTATTTGCTATTGGACGTGAAGCTTGTACTCAAGATTTAAATTTGGATAAAATTGGTATTAATATTAATAAAATAAATGGATTTAAAATAAAAACAAAAAATGAACAATCAATTCATGTTCCATGGTTATTTTCTATTGGAGATTGTATTGATGAACAAACTATGCCTCATGGAAAACCTTTAGAATTAACACCAGTTGCTATTCAATCAGGTCAATTATTAGCTAGAAGAATTTTTTCAAATAGTATTATTATGGTTATATTAAATAAATATTTTATTTTATTTTAATTTAAATAAAATATATTTTATTTACTTTAAGATGGATTATTATAATGTTCCAACAACAGTTTTTACTCCTATTGAATATGGTGCAATTGGTTATACTGAAGAAGATGCTATTACAAAATTTACTCAAGAAAATATTGAAGTTAAACGATATATATATATATATATATATTTGTTTTTCAATATTATATATATATTGTTTTATTAGGTATATCATAGTGAATTTGTTCCATTAGAATGGTCAATATGTAATCATAGAGAAAAAGTTAAAACAATGTCATATTGCAAATTAATTGTTGATAAAAATACAGTAAGTTTAATATTATGTTAGAATAAAAAAACAAAAAAAAATGTTAAATCAATTTATATTTATTAAGGGTCGTGTTATTGGATTTCATATTTTATCTCCAAATGCTGGTGAAATAACTCAAGGTTATGCTGTAGCAATGAGACTTGGAGCTCGAAAAAATGATTTTGATATGACTGTAGGAATTCATCCAACATGTTCAGAAGTAAATATTTTAAAATTTTTAATAAAAATTTTTTTTTTTTATAAATTTTGTTTGTTTTTGTTGTTTTTTCTTTCATTAGAATTTAACAACTGTAACAGTGACAAAATCATCAGGGGATGCAGTTTCAAAAGAAGGTTGCTGAGGTTAAAGTTCCCCTGGCTAAATAGACCAGGGATTTTTTATTCTCAATTGTAATTAATAACATATTAACGATAATGTTTTATTTAAAATGATAAATTCCTATGCCAAAGCTCGTACTCGAATGTCGAGAAGCTTCGAATTTTGATTGTCTTATCGTTTATTATGTTATTAAATATTGAGTTTGTTTTTTTCTTTTTTTTCTATTTCATATTATTCATATTTTTCTACAATATATTATTCTTAATCATAATTGTATTACTAACAAATCTTTAGGTTTTTTCTTTTTCTCTTTATCTATATAGTTAAATATCAAATAAAGTCATGTTATCAGTCAAATTAATTAAATATATAAATGAACAGACTATTTATATATGTATTTGTATAATTATTAAAAATAATATTTATTCATTGATAAAGATTCTTTTTTTTTGCTTTTTATTAATCAACATTTTTACTAAATTGAATAAGAAAAACAAAGAAAAAAAGATAAAAAAGAAATATACTAAACTAGCGGAGGTATCCGATGTTAGTTGAGATAATTTAATAATATATACTTGACATATTAGAAAACAATATCGTTATGATCTCCTATCAATTTTTGGAATTCGATATCGCAAAATATGCTCAAATCACTCTGTTTTCAGCTGATGTCTTCGTCATTTTTAATTCTTTTAAAAACATTTCTATCCTTTTCAGTGTTGTTTTTGTTTGATTGACTTCTTTTATTAGAAAAGACTCTTTNCAATTTTTAAGAATATTTTCAATTATTTGACGATGATTATTTTCAACAATTAGATTCTTATATTTATTAATTATATGATTAATTTTTACTTTTAGAAATTAGTCCCTTATTGTCTTCAACTTTTGCCAACAATATTTTCAACTATCTTACAAATTTAATTTAATTTTTAAAATAAAATCAATTGTAAAAAAAAACACGTCCTATATCTTTAATATGTACTCATGTTGTAGATCTCCATACTAACTAATTCAGTATATATTGTCAGCCGATATAGCTCTTATCAGAAATAAAATCGATTTATGCTTTCATGAACTGATGACTATATTATTTTCAAGTTTCCTACAATTCTATTAGAAGCTACTTCAATTAGTACAGATTTCAATCGAACTAAATTTGTTTTATAGATATTGTGTGTTATTTTATATTTTTCTGTTTTTATGATTCTTGTTAAATTCTTATCGAATATAATCTTCAAAAAATAACATTCATATTCTATAAAGTAAAAACATTCTATAAGATTTAATAGAGAAAATGATATTTTATTAATGAAACCAAATTTAAAATAATCAACTTATGTAGATTCAAAAAAACAGAAAAATATGATATGATAAAAAATGCATTCTGTTCCATTGTCCATTTCTTATACAATTCTTCACAATTTATTAAACGTTTTTGTATTAGACTTTATCTTTTGAACTTTATATCAATAGAAACTATTCAGAGTAATTTATCATGTATAATTATTTAATCTGTTTATATGAATGATATCCTACTACGTGATAATATTTCACAATAAAAGCTGAAAAGATATATAGAACATATTGAGAAATAAACATGAGAGAATATGATTAGTCTTTGAGCATGAGTTAGCTTTTTGAAAGACCAAAACATAATGAAAATTATTCGAAATATCTTTTGATATAAAATATAGAATTTAATTATCTTTACTCAATGATATGCTTCAATTTGTAAACTAAATTAACCGATTGATTGAAGTTTAGTTGAAAATAATCTTTAATTTAGTCTATTTCATTTGTCATTTAAAAAAAAATGAAAGTTTCACAAAAATAAACATGTATTTGAAAACAAAATATCCTATATTGCTCATTAGATATTTCTCAGATATTTTCAATAACTAGAAAAAAAAATTTTAATCAATTTATCGTACAATTGTAATTATAGATAAATAAATAGAAACTTCTATAATGCACTAATTAAATAACTAGCAAGACATTTTTATTAATCACTATATTTTATTTGATGTTCTCAATTGACATTAAAAACAGTTCAATAAACGATATTGAATAGTAAATGTATATAGTTGATATCGAGTATTTGATAATCGTATTTTGTAAATCTTTGTTGTCTTAAGTATTTTTCAAACATACATTAATTAAAACATGGAATTTTTTAACATAAAATTGTAGTAATAGGACGAGCAACAACAAAAAATTAATATCTAAATCAAAAATTGATTTAGTAGATTAGATGTTAATTCTGTATCAAGTGGTAATGTTCATGATATAGGTTTACTTTCATTTAATGGTCTTGATATTTATTTATTTCATTCATATCGTACAAATAATTGTACAACAATCATTATGAAAATGATTATGAATTGATTATTATATGTTTCCATCAAATATATGTTCTGATGATGGCCTCATAGAAATGGCCGAAAATTTAACGATTTATTATATCTCGTCTTGTAATATCTTGTGGCGCTATTGAATAATAAATAAAAATCTACTAAATCAATTTTTGATTTAGATATTAATTTTTTGTTGTTGCTCGTCCTATTACTACAATTTTATGTTAAGTATTTTTCGATTGATTTAGATGTCATTCGTTAATGGCATTTACTTACCATGATTATCGATCGTATCCTTAGCAAATATCTCGTCTTTCAACAGGAAATGTAATAGAACAAAAGATAAAATTATTACTATTTAGTCTTCACAGTCGTTACAAACTGATTCTAGTTACATTCTTGTCGTCGATTTCATTGATACTTTCATGCTTTATAATAAACAACTAATCTTCATTTTTACAATCTTATTGCAAATATGGCAGTCAATAGGTGAAGTCCTAAATATGTATAACTTTACAAGAGAAAATCTATGGCTTTTAATGCCTGATGGTGTTCGTTTGTCAGCTACACTTTCTATTCCTGTGCCGAAACATAATGATGAAAAATGTCCTATTCTATTCGAATACAAACCTTATAGAAAAGATGACAATTTCTTTAATTTTGATCAACCAAACATTTTCTATCTAGTACGACGAGGTTTCATTGTAAGTAGATTTTTTTATTATGACTGTCAAAGATGTCTATCTATTTTATCGTCTAGGTAGCCAAAGTTGATGTTCGTGGTACAGGTTCATCAGAAGGTATTCTTATTGAACGTGAATACACTACACAAGAATTAGATGATTGTGAACATGTTATTGAACAACTTGCTGATTATTATCGTTCGAATGGTCGTGTAGGAATGTACGGTTTGAGTTGGTCTACATTTAATTCTCTAATGATGGCTATATTGCGACGACTAACTGCTCTTAAAGCCGTTTTTTCTGCGCATGCTTCTGATGATTTGTATAAAAATGATATTCATTATCCAGATGGAATTTTACATCTTGATCATTATATTGTTTCAATTGATCAAACAAATGCACTACCAGCTACACCTGATTATTCCATCAATGAATAATGGATAAAACAACGATTTACAAGAAGACCCTGGTCTGATATATATCTCGAACATCAATTGGATAGTGATTCATTTTGGAGAAAACATTCGATTAAATATGCCTATGACAATCTTACTCTACCCGCTTATCTAATCGGAGGACTTTACGATCCGTGAGTTTTATTAATGAAAGGTATTTCAATTTCTATTGATTGGTATATTCTAGATACAAAGATGTGCCTATTAATATATATGAACGTGCGCGGCAAGTATCGCCTAAGATCAAAGTCGTTATTGGTCCATTTGCTCATGCAATGCCTGAAAATACGAATCGTAATCCAGGTCCTGGCTTCGATAGTATGGCTGAAATGGTTCGATGGTTCAACTATTGGCTCAACGATAACAACAGAAACAATGAGATTTTAAATGAGCCTGATATAACATTATTCATTCGTACAAATCTCACGGCGGGCAACTATCGATATGAATCTCAATGGCCGATTTCTCGACAAAGGATACGACGTATGTACATGAGCAAAGGTCGAATATTGACTGAACAAGCAATATCAGCTACAGAAAACGAACTTGTCAACAACAATTTGGACACATTCGAGTATCGGCCATGGATTAGTTTTGAAGGTGGTCTCTGGTTAGGCGGATTGACCGGAGATCAGCGAACTTTCGACGAAGACTGTCTAGTCCATCAGACTGATCCAATCCACGAAAGAATTGAAATTGTTGGTTTTGTTAACGTGTCTCTTCAGGTATAGATTGAATCATCTACTATAGTTGTTACAGTCTTATCAATGCTCAAAGAAGAATTTTGTGTTCCTAAGATTGATAATAACCATTTATTTAAGAAAAAAAATGAGAGTATTCATAGAAGAAGAGGAGAAGAAGATAGAGAAAGAGAATTTATATGCTATAGAACTTAAAAAAGGTTTCGAATTTGTTACGATTCTTAGAATCCTTCTTTTTTCCGTGCAGAAAGATCTACTCGAAAAAAAGGATGATATCGTGTCCTTTCTTTTTTCGATTTGGAAATACGATTGTTTAATTGAAATTCAGTCTGTTAATCTTTTCTGGGAATATAGGTGAGTGCTACTGCTCTATTAGCTCACTGGATTATACGATTAGAAGACGTCGATATTGATGGTCGAGTGTGGCTTGTAACTACAGGTGCAATGAATGGAGCTCAAAGACAAATGCCACCTGCAAATCTTCAACCGAATCGTTCATATACAATAACTCTTCGGCTTCGTTTTACTACATGGACTTTTTTCCTGCTCATCGTATTCGCGTTGCTATTTCAAATGGTATGTTTCCAACATATTGGCCATCTCCCTTTGCTATGAACACATCACTCTTTCTTAATCCATCAACTACTTTTATTGACTTGCCTGTTATTCCTCCTATGTCATCGACATCATCACCACCATTGTTCACTCAACAACAAGTTCCACCTGGCGATATTCTATCGGAATCATTTTCGGGCGGTAAACCTAGAGTCTATCAAAAGCATGAAACAAATCTATCTACACCAATTAGTTTTGAACGACTTAGTTATGAACTTTTACCTAAGAATATATTCATATCGACTCTACTTGCGTGGAACTTTACTTGTTCTCACTTAGATCCTGCTGATGTGCAATGGAAAGCACAAGCACGACAATTCTATGTCTATAATATGCATAATTATGTATCGGTCAATGATATACCTATAAAAGATGATGATAAAGGACTCTATCCAAATGTTGATCTATCAAAAAGACAACATTTTGAGGTTCATGTTAACTTGACTATTTACTCTGATAAAGAATATTTTTATATTTATTTTAATCGTCAACTTTTTAAATTAAGTGGAATGGAAGATGAACTTCCAATAACTTTTACATTCAATAGCAAACACAAAAGACAATTTCAATAAGACAATCTTTCTTTTTAGAATGAACATTAATAATTAATCTCTATAAAAACTATTACATTTTAAACTAAATATATATTTTAGAAACGTTTATATGAATTTATCAATCAACTTTTGATTTTCTATCTAAAAATTCCTAGGCAATGCCATATAGACACTTTGAAAATACCAAATTTTATTTTAGGAAATGAAAATTTTCTAGAAAATAGAAAATCTAAACTCAGGTTTTCTAAGATGAAGAGAAACGTATTGTTATTAAAAATTATAAATCATAACAAATGATATGCATTAAATAAATGTGGAAACCTCGGACTTAAGTGCCAGAGTTATGTGTACTTCAAAAAGTGAATGAGACAAATCAGTCATCCTAGAATGTGCGGATATACAAATTAACTTGGCAAACCTTTTCTATAAACACTTCAGTTCTATTAACTAGCGC